GAGAAATAGCGATAACAAACTTTCAATATCAAAATCCAAGATGGCTGCCTGTCGGCCATGTTGTTTATCCGATCAGTCTCAAAAGTTGCCCTGCACAGCTAAGGACCAAGGGGAACCTGCATATTAAATTTGAGAAAGATCCCTCTGGTACTTCTTGAGAAATACCGTTAACAAGAATTGTTTACGGACGGACGTCGAACGACGGACGACGGACAACGGACGGACCACAGACGCAGGGATATTTGAATAGCCCACCATCAGATGATGGTGGGCTAAAAAGCCAACAAGTGAAAGAGTAATCCCATTAGATTAGTAGCTTGTAAAAGAAATGACCTTGAGAAAGGTCACAAGGGTCACTTTTCAGAATTATGATCCAGGGGTGTCAACCCCACCATTTGTACAATTTTGAATCCCAACTGCTTAGGAATATGCTTCCAGTCAAATATAGTTCATACCCATCTCTTAGTTCCAGAGAAGAAGTAGCTTAAAGCAATATAGCCAATTAACCCTTTTAGCCCTGCCCCTCAGCCTCACCATTTGAACACTTTTGAATCTTGCCTCCAATGAATGCTTCCAACCAAATACCTGGTATGATCGATATCCGGTATATAGTTCTACAGAAGAAGTCGTTTATAGCAATACTGTATAGCTAATTGCCCCCTTTTGGCACTGTCCCTCAGTCCCCTGGGGGGTCAGCCCACCATTTGAACAATTTTGAATCCCAACTACCTAGGGATGCTTCCAGTCAAATATGGTTTATATTCATCTCTTAGTTCTAGAGAAGAAGTCGCTTAAAGCAATATAGCCAATTAACCCTTTTAGCCCTGCCCCTCAGCCTCACCATTTGAACACTTTTGAATCTTGCCTCCAATGAATGCTTCCAACCAAATACCTGGTATGATCGATATCCGGTATATAGTTCTACAGAAGGATTGGTTTATAGCAATACTGTATAGCTAATTGCCCCCTTTTGGCACTGTCCCTCAGTCCCCTGGGGGGTCAGCCCACCATTTGAACAATTTTGAATCCCAACTACCTAGGGATGCTTCCAGTCAAATTTAGTTAAATTCCTATCAGTGGTTAAGAAGAAGAAGTTGTTTGAAGAAATTGTTGACGGACGACGGACGACGGACTTCACGGTATGGCATAAGTTCACCTCGGTCCTTTGGACCCGGTGAGCTAAAAAGGGAATAAACTTAATCTTTATTCAAGGTTACAGGGGTGAAATATGTTTAAACAGTGTTATTTTCTGTAAATCACAGTAATGTCTAAAGTCATATTTGCCCATTACAGTAGCCTGCTGGAATGGGGAGCTAATACGTTTATGAAAATGATAAATCTTTATATGTATTAAAGATCATAAGGACCTAATTTGCAAAATTACTCCAAGGGCTTCCTCTGAAGAACCAAAATATTTACGATAATGACATTTGGCCAGTAGGTTATCAAACAAACAAATCTGTGCAATATTTCTGCAATACAGTTGAAAGGGAATTTTCTACAGCATGACCATGGAAACTCAAGGTAGCAGCCAAAGAAAGGTGACCCCTTATCAAGGGAGCAAACTATTATTTTTAATAACACAATTGTCACTCTCAGTCCCAATATTTTGGCCTCGGGGATTAAAGTTATGTCCATCTTGTTTCTTCTTAGTCATTATCTCAACTTACTTTACAAATCAACTCATTGTTAGTCATCTCACACTATCTTAAACTCCAGGATGGTAGGGTTGTGACGCTGATCTTAAACTCCAGGATGGTAGGGTTGTGACGCTTATCTTAAACTCCAGGATGGTTGGGTTGTGATGCTGATAGTACACCTGCATCCGATCAGTTGTGAAAAGATATAGGTCACCTGTTGACCTCCTGTCTCCAGGGAACTCCTAGTTTTCTCCTATATCAAGACCCATGTGTTCCTCCATCAGGGCCAACGAGTGATTTATATCATTAAGTTAATATAAGTTGATGGGAACTAGTTTCAAAATTGTGATAAAGAAATGTTAGTTTAATTGCTGCTACACCAATCAACTGATTGTTAATTATTATCCCTCGCTTTCACCGAAACGGGGGATATTAATTTGGGTTTGTCTGTCTGTCTGTCTGTCACACTTCGTATCCGTGCAATAACTACACCAAATATTAACCGATTTTCTTCAAACTTGGTCACAGGGTTAGTGCCTTAAGGGCTCGGCCAAGTTTGATGACCACTTTCAGCTGACCCCATTTGGCTGAGTTATGGCCCCTTGAATAATGAAAAACGTCATTATCTGACATTTCTGTTCATTAACTCATCCAATCCAATCCTATCCAATTGTCTTCAAACTTAGTAATAGGGTTCAACACATTAAGGGCTCAACCAAGTTTGACAACCACTTTAATCGGACTCCATTTGGCAGAGTTATGGCCCCTTGTTTATTGAAAAACGTCATTATCTGCAGTTTCCGCTTAATAACTAAATATTAGCCAAATTCCTTCTAAATAACAATGTTTGTGTTCCTCTGTCTTTCCACCCATCTCGAGCACTCTTTGGTTTTCGTGTGAGAATTGATGTAGATATTTTTCAGATGTTTCAACTAAATTCCGTAAGCAATTATCACACTCATGTTTATTTTGCCAACCGATGTGATTTGTGCATATTTACGGATAATCAATGAGGTATAGGGCTTTTTTTTCTTCAAGTTTCAAACTATACATTATGTCTCAACAGCACGATACTCACATGTTTAAACCTAACCTCAACAAGAGGCCCAGAGGGCCTGTATCCCTCACCTGGATATCAAAGTAATCATGGCAAAATATTCTCCAAATAACATCCAAAGGAATGGGCCAGACCCAAGGACAATCCTTTTATGTATTGTTATGGGGTGGGGATCTTAACTGTTTCCAAGGTGTGACTCAGAAACTGGGTCCCTGGGGTTGTGGCCAGACCCCAGGTATCGTGACTGCATTTGTCTCTTTATGCCCAACAATTATATATATAGTTTTGGGGTGGGGATCTTAAACGTTTCAAAGTAATGACCCAGGGGTTAAATCTCCAAGGGTGGAGCAGACTCTGGAATCAATTCTAATATCAGGACTGCATTCGTCTCTTTATGCGCAGCATTTGTATATACAGGTTTGGGGTGGGG